GCCGCCTTAATCGCCTGATCTCGACACGATTGAACACATCTGGTCCCTTCTTAAACGTCGCTTGTCTGACTATGCAGTTCCACCAGAAATCATCCACCAATTATTGGAACGCGTACAGGATGAGTGGAACAAAATAACATTGCACGGTTATTATTAATACCACGCCTGATCACATTATAAAGGTTTTAAAGGGCCAACGGAGGCTATACTGATTATTGAAGGATACTTTTTCCATAAATATGATATGCATTGGGAGGATTTTGATGCAGAAAAAAATCTGTTCTTTGTATGTTACTATTATTAATAAAATAATTATGTTTTCGTATATAATTATCAGAATAACATAAGTATGCAAATAAATATAAGTTTTTCGTACTAAATGTGCTTTGCAACATTTTCCAGTTCTTTAAAATAGTCTCCTGTATTCTTTGGGAGGATTTTGACGCTTATACCCCGTTCGCACCGAGCATTTCGATCTAGATTGTGACTAAGGTCGGAGATTGTTCTGTGGTGCGAACGCTCTCGACCATTTCAATCTCGACTGAAACGAGGTTCAATCGCGATCGACTGGAGAGAGTTCTCGAAACTAGATCCAATTATAAGAGAGATCCCACAATCCCACGCGCGCGAGAAAATACAAGATGGCTGCGGAACACGTGTCGGGCTATCGACAGAGAAATAAAAAAGACATCTGTCTATTATTATATGTATGGCAAGAAAAAGTATTTATTTCTAACCAAAACTTCCACTTTGCTTGTTGGTGTTTGTTGTTGTTGTTGGCTTTCGACTAGCGACAGTCACAATCCAGATTGTAAGTAAATCGAGATCGAAGTGAGTCGTGGATTTGTGCGAACATAGTATTACTGTATATCCGCTAATATTTTTGCTAAAGAATTGTTGATCTTACATCCTAGACTCTTTCTCCTCAGATAACCCACCAGTGATCAAGTGACTAAATCCTCTGAACGCAGTTTATTTTTCTTCTTGCTAAGGGCAGAAAAATTGGCCGAAGATAATAACAATGAAACATTTTTAATTACAGATAATCGATTATTTTACTTTTTGAAAATAATTACGTAATTAAATGTGTGAGGTCTCGGACCTCACACATTTAATTACGTAATTATTTTCAAAAAGTAAAATAATCGATTATCTGTAATTAAAAATCCTCCAGTTCTCTCGGTTAAAATTTCGCTATGCCTACACTTAAAAGGGCAGCATAATTACTAGATAGGTCCCTGATAATTAGTGTGTAATGACGATTGGCCGATTAATCAGTCGGCCAACTAAAAATAGTCTTATTGGCGGCGTTTTCTGCCAGTCTGGAGTGACAAAACAAAAATATCAATACTTGGCAGACTGGAATACTTTAATCCACCACTAAAATAGAATAAGATTTGATGTCTCAATGTAACAATGAAGAATGCACGGATCATGATACGAGGATGCACAGTATTTGCTGTTAGAATAATTTAAGTATTGCAACATTCTCAATGCAAAAAAACATACGTAAAACAGCTTCAATCTAGACTGTCAGAAAATAATTTCTATCATTTAAATCACAGCAAATAGTCATAAGCAAAAAGTCATAAGATGATTTAAATCATTTAAATCATCTTATGACATATGACACATGCAAATTCAATGCCTCAAATCAGTTGCTTAACTTTCCTGGCAACATTTAAGACTGTGTTTGTAGCGTCATCTGTTACGATATTTTATTATTAAAAATTTTTATATTTTTAATTATTATAAAATGGCAAAAACTTAATTTTGAGGGTTGAAATGGGTTTTATAAAAAAATTTTGAATGCTAATAACGAGTAAAATCTTCATTAAGTCAAACCCTACTCGAGATATCACACGACCCCCCATTATCTCCCCACTCCTCAACCTTTAACCACCAAAATTTAATAGTATCAAACCTCCCTGCATAATTTCTGAAATTTTCGATAAAAAGCACAGGAGTTAAGCTTTAAAGAGGTGAACAAAATCGTGCCCCCACACACTAACATCCATACATACAGAAAAAACTCTAATTTTTTTTTTCATTTCTCGACATTTCGAGATTCCTAGTCCAAAAATGTAAATATTTGGGGGGTCATTTTTTGACCTATCGTCTTACTTTCCCTCTGTTATATATAACAGTACCGGGAAAGTAATAAGCATAACCATTAATTTTGTCTACAGCTCAAACTACTGATCAGAACAGCATGAAACTTAAAAAGTACAATGTTCTACTTGTATGTTATTAATTTGTTGTGCAAAAATGCTTATATGGTGTGCAATTATTTTCTGCACTCACGCATGCTGCACAGAGAATGCTCATGCCAGTTATAACGTTTATTAGCTCTGTCGGGAGCAAAGTCCATTTTTGAACAAGAGCATCGTAAAATGCCTGGAATGTTTTTTGATGGCAGCTGGCTGATGGGTGTAACTCTTCTTCCTAGAGCATCCCACGTTCTGTGGAATTTAGATCTGAAGATTTTGGCTATTCCATGCAGCGAATATCTTCACCGTCAAGAAGATCATTGACGCGAATATCTTCACCGTCAAGAAGATCATTGACGAGTGTAGCTGTGTGTGTGCAGGCATTATCGTCGTGAATATCAAATATGCACCCACGGCATCTCGGAAAAGTTACACGTGGTATTCTAAAACGTCGTCTTTGTACTTTCTTGCAGTAATGGCAAAATGTGGAGCTTAGTTTGATTATTAAACATAATGCCACCTCAGACCACATAATTCCTACCTGCAATCTGGCTGATAGCTGAGCGGTAAGGTGACAGCCTACCGCTCTGGGGAACCCGGGATCGAATACAGACAGGTCGAAAAATCCCCAGGAATTTTTCAGGATGGTCCATCCGAATATGTCGGACCCCGCCCCTCATCACCCTACCGCCCTGTTGTGGGCTTGGCTGAACCCATAATGGGCTTGCTAAATAAGGCCCTCTTAGTGCCCACAGGGCGGAAAGTTTTAAAAAAAACCTGCAATCTGGTCTTTCCACAATGTTCAATACTCTTGGAACCGTACCAGGTTCCCCACACTCCAGATTCTAAACCTGAGGTCTCGGACCTCACACATTTAATTACGTAATTATTTTCAAAAAGTAAAATAATCGATTATCTGTAATTAAAAATCCTCCAGTTCTCTCGGTTAAAATTTCGCTATGCCTACACTTAAAAGGGCAGCATAATTACTAGATAGGTCCCTGATAATTAGTGTGTAATGACGATTGGCCGATTAATCAGTCGGCCAACTAAAAATAGTCTTATTGGCGGCGTTTTCTGCCAGTCTGGAGTGACAAAACAAAAATATCAATACTTGGCAGACTGGAATACTTTAATCCACCACTAAAATAGAATAAGATTTGATGTCTCAATGTAACAATGAAGAATGCACGGATCATGATACGAGGATGCACAGTATTTGCTGTTAGAATAATTTAAGTATTGCAACATTCTCAATGCAAAAAAACATACGTAAAACAGCTTCAATCTAGACTGTCAGAAAATAATTTCTATCATTTAAATCACAGCAAATAGTCATAAGCAAAAAGTCATAAGATGATTTAAATCATTTAAATCATCTTATGACATATGACACATNTTAAACGTTTATCTAGTGATATTACGACTTCAATATTTGTGGCGGACAGACGTAAAGTCGAATAAAATGACTTAAACTTGATTTTTATTTTTTCGTATACTTTTTTGACAAACGACGTATAATCGGGAACGACGTAACTCGAAACTACGTAAGTCGAGGTATACCTGTATAGTCCTTATTTGAATTCCTATTTATGCATTGGACGATTGCTTATTGTTTGGACAAGAGAGTATTTTTTCCCATTTCAATGGGAAAAAATATTCTCTTGTCCAAACAATAACATTAATATTTTTAAAATCCTATATTTTTAAACTTTCAATTTAAATTAAATTTACCTCTACTTTAAAAATATTAAATTTCATTTCTCATTAATGTATTAGTAGAATATTAAACTCTCAATATCCATTTTATTTTAATAGTAATAAAAATAAAAGCTTAGCAGAAATAGCATCCATAGAATAAAATTAAAGTAGATAAATCAAAATAACTGTATAAACATTAGTTTCTAAAGACTATTTCAACCAATACATTCCAGTATGCATCAGTCTCATCCACAACTGGGGAACGGCTTAATTTAATGAGCTTTAACTGGAACGTTTGGCAATCTAACAACATGGCGGAAGCAAACAGTCCTATATTGGCATTTGCAGATTTTGTCGAAATAACTTTGGGTTAATACAGATGAGTAATAAAAAGTGTTAATATAACTATGCAGGCAGCCATATTGTTTCATCAGAGCTCGCCATATCCAGTCCCATGAGTGCTCTAGTTGCTACACCGATGCCTACTGGAATGTACCCAATATTTTTATTAATTTGTATTTAAAAGAATCATTTGAATTGTTGAAAACGGAAAGAGCACTAAAAACTTAAAAAAATAATAATAATGTTTAAAATAAATTTATTTCTCGTGTTGTATAATACATCATGCATTTTTTTTAATAATATATATAATCTATATAAAAACTTTGAAACAAGTCTTGTCACACAATTTAATTACATATGTACAAGTTGTGACATTTATCTTTAAAAAAAATTATTTTTTACAAAAAATCCCTTTAATAAAATTGATTTAAGATCATTATTCGTACATATTGTAAATGGACAAAATTTTAAAATCTAAAAACAGTTACCTGATCGACTTAACATTAAGCCGTTATCGCAACGCTAAATTGAATATACAGGCAAATATATTACACGTTCTTAAATATCGTAAAACTGTCGAAAAAAGAATGTCCAAAATTGAGCAGAACTATAAATATCTAAGTATCTAAAAGTAAAAAAACCAATTGATTATTATTATATATATATTTGTAAAAAATGCACCCATTCGATGTTCTATGGATGCAATTTTTACAATATTTTCATCTAAATGCAACAATATAAGGCCTATTCATCGTTTTTACAGTTCGGGAAAGTGGACTTCCTATCCGTTCAGATCTTTTGCCTGTTGTGCCAAATCTCTGTAAATCAGTTATGGCACTTCACAGTTTATTAATAATGAAAAAACATAATTAAAGTATAAATAACACATCCACTGATTTGATATGATGCTTCATTATAATAAACAACTACTGCAAATAGAAATTTGGCATATTCGAATCGAGCCACCATCCTAATTTTACATATAAACATTTTAAATACACGACTTTTCTATATGTAAAGTAGTGGAAAACAATTTAAAATTTTGAATTTTGGAAAATGTTGACTAGTAATCTATTTTCATCACAAGAATAATTGGAAGAATTGCATATAAAATTCATTTCTCACTCTAAGCATAACTCAAATATGAGATTATTTGTCATACTTTAGATCCAGCGACACAGTTCTGTCTTCTGTTATTATTTGAACACACGGGACTGTTACTGGAATACTTTGAAGGTGTCTGCTGATGCGACGTGTAGTAGTTTCTGGACGATGTATAATCTAAAACGACATTAGAATGTTTCTCGTTTTTATATGGTGATCTGTTTTCCAACACATCCTTTGTCGCTGGATGTTTAGTTTCTTCTTGTAGCATTTTATCTGGATCGTTGATTTTAGAATTGTTCAACTGGGGCGAATAAAAATTACGAGGAGAAGTATTTTTCGATGGACTACAATTGTTGGAAGATGAAGGATAATTCATGTAATGTTCATAAACTTTAGGATCCAAAATACCCGTTCTACTTCTGGCTCTAGTGGAAAAAATCCAACTTCTAAAATCATATACAACAAATATAATCATAGATATAAAAGTGTCTACTGACCTCTCCATTTCCTTATATATATCAATTTTTCTTGATATAGTATGAGGAGAATGTGTGTTAAATACCTTTAAAGAAAGAAGAAAAAAGAATTATTTCCAAAATTCTTTACTTGATCAATGTATGTTCATTTGATAATCTTAAATTATAAAATTTAAATCTATAAACACAAATATGTATCAGCTCATTATTATTATGTTTAATGTAGTTTGTACTTCTTAACTAAGTATATCTGGAAATAATACCAAATGCACATTCCTCCATAATTCATTTTCATCATTTGAAGTACCCCTCACAAACAATTCACAAATTCTTTAATTAATAATGTTTGAAAGACTTAGAACAATTCATGAATTCTTTAAAGTTAGAAATTCAAAATCCCTTCTTAGTTGTCATGTTTGGTAAGTGACAAATATTTTTGTAAATCTTATTGGCTTCATCATAAGTAAATGAATAATCTGATTGGCTAACATTACAACCATGTTCTATAACATAAGCTTATAATGGGTGACATCTCTTATACTTAACGTTATGACCATTCATAAGATTATAACAAAGCATTTTATAACAGAAAATATGAAATGTACAAACTCACTATGTATGTATGTATATATGTTCGTAGTATACAAATGATTTAAACTGTGCTACTATTTCAACCTGGCAAGTGGCATCAGACTGTCACTTGGTATAATTATAGTGTTGACCTTAAAGATAGTCTAGATGCGAGATGACCTCACAGTGTTGTGATATGGGCTCCAGCCAGCATCATTTAAGTAAATATTACAAGTAGAGAGCAATACCATGGGCCAAGATGGACTGCATGGTTCTTATAGAAGGCAGTCAAGGCAATGGAAGCATAAAGAAAGCTCATGCTGAAGAAATTCTGCTCAGAATCATTAGCTGGGAACCAGATTGGAGCAATGTTTTGGGAAGACAGAAGCATAATTAAGACGAAGTGGTTGTCACAGAGAATGGCCATCGACAATGATCGCTACTGTGCCTCCTATGAACATAGACATACAAAATCCAACAGTGTTCCAAGGGAGAAGTAGCCTCATAACATGTTGCTATTACATGGCAATTCAAGGCCACACATCAGCCAATAGAGTGCAGCTCAACTGCAATCAATGGGGTTCATCAAGCTCCCACACACCCTATTCTCCCTCGCCTAGCACTAACTATCTATGTCCTTTTCCACGAGCTGAAGAATCCCATCTGGTCACAAATTCCAGACAGTGAAGCCTTAAGCTTAGTTCACATTGAGTGCAGTTCGCTGGCGAAAGCGAAAAACAGAGCGAATAACCAGTCAAACATGACTGGTTTGATGAATTATTCGCTCTGTTTTTTGCTTTCGCCAGCAAATTGTGCTCAGTGTGAACTAAGCTTTACATCAGACTGTTAGGGAATGAGTATGAGACACTCCAAGCAATGGTTTTATGAAGCAATATGAAAATTGCCAGAAATGACAACAATGCCTCAACCTCCAGGGAGAATATATGGAACAGGATGAAATTAACCTGGAAGCTATCACCATCAAGGATCATATAATTCAGGTTAGTCTAAATCATTTGTTTACAACCCTCATACAAATTTTGCTATTAAATTGTTGTTTAACAAAAACTGTTTTTTTTTGTGATAGTCTTGGTAGTCTAGTAAAGCTGAAGTTAACTATTCATGCATTTTATATAAAGCAGCATGCAAAGTATCAATAATCTGATCAAACTATTAAAATATATTAGGAACACACACTATTTGAAATTATATTGGAAATCTAGATTATTTTTCATAGTAATAAAAGGATGACAATAAAATATAAAACTCAAAATACTATCAATAATATATAAAATCACATGGTTAGATTGTCTCTCACAGGGTTAATATAATAAAATAAGATATTACTCTTGATCAATAGTGTAAAATCAAAATGATAAGAATTTTATAAACAATATATTCATAATAGCATATTTGCCATTCCATTGCCAATTATCATGCAATTTCAGAATAAAATATCAGTAAAAATATTATGCAAAATCATGCAGATGTCTTCCAAAACACCTATAAAAGCACAAAAAAAAATTTCATCACAGGCAGAATTAAATTCAGTACCTGTTGTCTGCCTGTATATCGCAAACTCTGGGTTCTCCTTATCATTGGAGGTTGTGAATGAGCACGATGTATCTGCAAAGTACTTTTTCTGTCAATTTCTTATGAATGAAATTTTATTTTAAAAAATTATTGTTTTCTAAATGCCAATTTAAAATATTACAAAGTATATTACAAATAAAAAAAATACTTTGCTTATAAAACAGAGGGAATAAATTTTAAATTAATTTCTTAAAATTAATTTAATTTTTATTCATCAAATTATTACAAATGCCCAAAAATTTTTTTAATGAAATATTTTCTTTAAAATTGAAAATAATAGAGTTTAATTGTTAGAAAACTTCATTATTTTTATATACTGAACTCTATTGTCATCATCACTGAAATTTGGACAAATGATAAATAGTAAAATGTAAATTTTGTAGCTTAAAACAAAGACAAAAAAAATTTTTGAATCAGACAAATAAATTTCTGAATCTAACTCTCCATCCATTAATGAAGCACATTTAAAATTTTTACACTTTGAAATTCAAACTTCAACTCTGAAATATATCTATCCTCAAGAAACAAAAGATGCATAAACTTTAATGATAAAGAAACTATATCAAATGCATAAAAGGAGGCATATGAAATTCGGTAGCATTCAAGCATATGAGAAAATTTCCAAGCCCATAAACTAGCATTAGTATGAAGAGAAACATAGAAGGTTTTTAACAGAAAGACTATTAAAATGTCTTCTATATGTTATGCAATATAAATTATTTTCTTTTTTTATATCTTATTTGGTTTTCTAACAATGTTAAAGTTTAAATTAACAGTCTATATTAGAAAAGATAAGATATTGTTCTTTCTTCTCTTCCTAAATAAAATACAGCTTGTCTGAGAAAGATCTTTATCATTTTAAATATTAATAACAAAAATACTAACAGGTGAAATGAAAGGCAATTTGCTGCAAAAGAATGAAGAAATCTAAGAGTTTTTTCTGGTATCAATTGCCTGAGGTAGATGGATTGGATATTCCCCATACCTTGGCCATTGCGATCGCCAACATAACTACTGGATTTCTTTTTTTGGGGTTATGTTAAAGACAAGGTTTATCAAACACTTGTTTCTGATATATCCATTTTAAAGGAAAGAGTACATTTAGCAATCCTCACTGTTACACTGCAAATGTTAAAAAACACTTGGAGGGAAATCGACATTGTTCATGCTACTAATGGAGCTCACGTACAGCTACATTGAAGGTTGAAGGTACTGTAAAAAAAACTCTTAGATTTCTTTATTCTTTAGCTGCAAACTGCATTTCATTTCACCTGTTAGTATTTTTGTTATTAATGTTTAAAATGATAAAGATCTTTCTCGGACACACTGTATATAGCCAATAGAATTGAAGAACATCTTAGAGAATTGCACAAGAAATCTTACCTAGCAATATAGAAATATTAGATAAAGGTGAATAAATCTTAGAACCCTTAAGACAATCATCAAATTGCTGATTGTGTTTGGATTTCCAGAGAAAGCCTTAACTATTAAAATATTAATTGCAGTGATTCAAACAACCTTCTTTCTTTTTGGATATACTTAATTGTAAATAAATTTATATTTTAAGATTTAAGTGTTTAAAATTTTTTTTTATCTGAATGTTTCATTTCCTGTATCTATAATGCTTTTATTTTTTTACATTTTAAGTTTTCAAGCAACTCCATTCCTTTAATCTAGGACATTCCTAAACAGCATTAATTTTCAGGTAATTTTCATAAGATTTAAATTTATCATCCATTTTCAAGAATTCATAAAATAATGATATGTATGAAAATTCAATATGGAAATTTTGATAGTCTTACTATTTACAAATATTTTATATTAAAATAATTTAAAGCATTAGTTAACAAGCTAAATAATTGAATATTCAATAAAACTGTCAATTCATTTTCTCATGTTTTCAAAATACAGAAAGTATAATAATGTGGTGCAGAGTTTTAAACTTTAATGCCTGTATTTGCAACCAAAAATCAAGAGTTAGAAATTAACCAATATGTGTTCACTTACTAAATGTAAAATGAATGGGTACCCAATTATAGTTAATTTCTAATTCTTGATTCTAGGTTGTGAATATGGCCATAAGTGATTTGAATTTTGGCTTTAACACAGTTAACATAGAGCTCAGTGTTTGAAATTATTATTATTTCAAGATTTTTAAAGTTTTTTTAATAATTATAGAAAAATTAAGGGCAATATGAAATTTTTGGATGAATAAAAATCATTATTTATATTAATTTAATGTTTTATAATTTTCTATATTACAAAAATTTATTGATATCAAACTGTTTTCTACATAAATTTAGTCATTTAATTAAAATAATAAATTTTAAAAAAAAATTGGATTTTTTCTATATGAGACATTTTGCATAGAAGAAACAGTCTAAAATTTAATCACTTCAGTAATTATACAACAAATTTTTACCTTCAATTTTATATGATATTATCATTATATGAAACAATACCTATATTTCAAAAACTAATATTAAAAGAAACTGTTTTAACATAATTTCTTAAATATAAAAATTAATACCAGTCTAAATTAACACTCCTAAACCTCATAACTCCAGTAATAAACATTTAATAGCAAACTAACGTTTTCAATCGTACATTCGGTCTTCTTCAGGTTTAAAAAACCAGTTATATTCGAACATGTGAATGCATAGAACAAAAATTCTGAAATTATTTTCAAAAAATGGAACTTTACCAACGTAATTTAAAAGAATAAAAAGTTATGCATGTGCATTGCCATGGCAACGACATGTTAAATATGAAAATACGTTCCTATAATGACATATATGTGCTACATACGTTGACTTACATATAATGACATAAATGTGCTACATATGCTCCTATAGTGACATAAATAAATACACAAAATAGGGGTATGGCTTCTAACTACTATTGTGGTCGTTGCCTGTTCCTTCATAGCAGTATTTCCAAGCGTGTGACAAATTACCAGCATCCTTAGAGTTAATGCAATTGGTGTGTAACCCGGCCTTGTAAATTTCAAGTGCCTCAAGGTTTCGTAGGTATTCTACACGGTGAGACAGTTTAATCAGTTTGGCCTCATGTAGGTCAGCTCTTATGCCGTGCCCTAATAAAACGGGCTTTCACACACCATACTAGAGCTGAAGACACTGAGAAGGAGTTAGTACGAATCCAGAACATAGCATTACAGCACAGATATAGCAGGAGCCTAGTAAACAACCTTTCCAGCGCATACTCCTCTCGAATGGCTGCAAGCTACACTTCTAACATACGGGTAGCGACCCATGGAACGCAAAACATAGGTAGCATACAGCCTCGTGTGGTGGTTGAGTACAACCACCACATCAACTCCATTTATAGGGAGATTGCCTCCCATACTAATACTAAAATTACATACAAGAGGCCAAGCACTGTATATGGACTACTCCGCAGTGGCAAAGACAAGATAAATAGAAAGCAAGCACCGGGTGTTTACATGGTCCCTCTCTGGGATGACAGGTTTCAAAGGGAATTAGTATATATTGGGTCTACAAAGCGCTCATTGAATAAAAGATTGAAGGAGCACGATTATGATATCATTAATAAAAGGCACACCACCGCCCTGTCAACATTTGCGACTGAACCAGGCATAAGAGCTGACCTACATGAGGCCAAACTGATTAAACTGTCTCACCGTGTAGAACACCTACGAAACCTTGAGGCACTTGAAATTTACAAGGCCGGGTTACGCACCAATTGCATTAACTCTAAGGATGCTGGTAATTTGTCACACGCTTGGAAATACTGCTATGAAGGAACAGGCAATGACCACAATAGTGGTTAGAAGCCACACCCCTATGTTGTGTATTTATATATGTCACTATAGGAGCGTATGTAGCACATTTATGTCATTATATGTAAGTCAACGTATGTAGCACATATATGTCATTATAGGAACGTATTTTCACATTTAACATGTCGTTGCCATGGCAATGCACATGCATAACTTTTTATTCTTTTAAATTACGTTGGTAAAGTTCCATTTTTTGAAAATAATTTCAGAATTTTTGTTCTATGCATTCACATGTTCGAATATAACTGGTTTTTTAAACCTGAAGAAGACCGAATGTACGGTTGAAAACGTTAGTTTGCTATTAAATGTTTACTACTGGAGTTATAAGGTTTAGGAGTGTTAATTTATACAGTTTCCAGTATACGCGTAAGAAGATTTGAGTAATACCAGTCTACACATTATCCATATTTCATACGGATATTTAATAAATATTAAAAGTAATTATTAAAAATAAACTTTTTAGCAATATAATTTAAAATGCTTTATAAATCTTCAATATTACCTCAGGTGATTGATGATGTGCACCAATTTGATACCTTCGATGTGAAGAAAACATTGGAAGCGACTACAAATACATATAAAAAGAAAAATGTAACATCTAAATTTCAAATATTTAATTTATTTTTACAATATTTACAGGTTGTCTGACTAGAATTTCTTTTGTTTCTTGTTCATTCCAATCATGCCTTTCATCATCGTCGTAACACTGTTGATAGCGTGACCTTAAAAACTGTATCCTCTGGCGTTGTTGGGGAGACAAAGAATAATGAGTCGATGAAGGAACTGGAGTTGAAAACATATGGTTCTTAATCTGTTCTTCATGTTTTTGTTGTTCAACAAATCTTTTATAATGTTCTTGTATTCTATAACATAAATGATCAATGATTATTATTGATACCATACGTTTAAAATGATTTTAAAAAGTCATTCTACCTGTCATGTTCTTCTTGTGCAGCCCATCTTGCTCTAAGTCTTTCAGCTTCTTGCCTCAATTCTTCCTGAGTCATTTTTTTAGATGAATCACTTTTGCGAGTTTTTCCAAATCTACTAAAAATATAAATTAAGTTTTATATTTTTTAAATTGTCTTGCCATATATTCAATAATCAAGAAACAAATATACAGTAAAACTCAATTATCCAGATTGTCCTCTGACTTTGTTAATAAAAATAGGCAGGTATGTATACGTATAAAAAGTAATTTTTTTTCTAAATGTATTATACATTCATTTGCAAATAAACTTCCACATCTAATATTTTATTTGCATATAGTTATGTACAGTACATACATACACACCAGGGTATTTGAACAGGAAAAGATATTTAAAAAAAAAATTCAATTATCTGGATATTCTGCATATTTGGACAGTCCAAGCTCCCAAGTTTTACCATATAAAAATATGTAAAACTATTGGATTGTTCAAAAAGTAATGTCATATTTTTTTTGTTTTATATTAGAAGTGTTCTGATATGCTTTCATGTATTAGTTACAGTTGTTCTTTAGTTCAGTATACATGCATTTCTTTCATCATCTGAAGTTATAAGTATTTTTAAAATAATATTGTGTTGTTGTTATGGATAAGAGCAAGGAACATTTATGTTATTGTTGGACTGCAATTTAAAAAAATTGTAGACCTATAAATTCCTTCTGTCATCTGTCTGTCTGTCCTTCCTTAATCTCGAGAATGTTGTTAGATAAACAAAATCCAAGACCAGATATGGAAAGCTTGGGGCAGGAGGCCCCGATTAACTGTATATGAACTTCTGATGCAAACCAGAAGTCATGTTATTTCAATTCAAAACTTTTTGCCTGAAAGGAGTTAGATAGATGACTGGTATGACTCCATTGCTGATGGAAAACCATTATGTACAAGGGCAAGCCACTGCTAATTTGAGGTGGAGAGAATATATTTTAAATTAAATAAATTGAAAATATGATTAAAAGTTGCAGCCCGGCATTGTGACGATGTCACAATAAATAATTGCTTGTTTACTCTTAAGAATATCAGAATGGTCATAAAACAACAACAGTAACTAAAATCATCAAATGAACAGTAACTATATACTTGTATAAGTATTTGCTGAAGATGCCAAAAATGTTTGAATGTACCAAACATAATTTGCAAAATTTTGCAGTGACAACTTTAATCTTACTGATACTGATAAACACGACTGGACTATTCTTGTGTTGCTTACTCATACAGAATTAACACATTAATTATCTAATCTATGACTAGGTGTTGAGAAATCTGATAATTGATAAACAGAGTCCATTCAAGATTCTGAACACTTAAAAATACTGGATAAGGCAATTTATGAGAAAGTGTTGATGCCTCATTAGGTAATCAATGTGCAGAGGAGCAGTGCTTATTAATCTGTATTGCTTTGTTAAATAGACAAAACCAGTTTTAGACTGAATAGTAACAGATTAAGTGGGTTCTGTATGCTAATATTACCCAGAAAAGACAAGGGTTATCATCAAAACAACAAACATTACCAACAGAAAAAATTGGGATTATATAGTAGAGTCCTGCAAACTTGACTTAATATGACTCAGGTGATAAGTTACTGAAAATGACAAGTTTTGTAGATAGTGATGATGGCAGTCTAAATAGTGGAATTTTTGTAAAGGTATTATATGTGCAAATTCATATATGTATTTACTCCCATATAAGACAAGGTTTTTATTCATTTTTCACTGTTTCAAAAACCTAGATTGTCCTATATGCCCGAGCAAAGTATTTTTTGTGTTTTTGCAATAATTTTTTTAAACCATGTATTTGCATTTTTTACTGGATGCTCACCCTCTGGTGTTTAAAAACAGAAGTATTATATCTGGTTGTTTCAATTGTTCTTGTGTATTGTTAGGAGTAAAGATGAATTGCAATAGGAAAAGCAAAGCTTTTACAATCTACATTTTCCAGCACTCATTTCCTTGTTGATAAAAAGCCAGAACACCCCAAGAAGGTATGGATGGAAACCATGAAGATGTCCATATGTCACCAGTTCGTTTTAAAAATTTTTTTGTATTTTTAACTGGATATATTTTTTGTGTTTTTAAAAAGACTTTTTAGCTTTCTGGCAGCCAGTAGCCTAAAAAGAAAGGTCAGTCGCCAAGAATATGTGTAGTCTGGAACACAAAGTTAATAAATGGTGGTCCCTTTTGGACAGACTTTGTCTTCAGATATTTATTTATAATATAATTGCCATCAGATGAAAATCTACAAAAGCAAAGCTTTTGAACTGAATTCAAATTGAAATTCCAAAATCACACAGGAGCCTATTAGCAATTTTTATCCATTCCCATGTGAAAACATGATTATTTGGAAATCAGAATTCAGAGAAACTCGTGTGTAATTGATAGAGAGTGGATTAGACTTAAGAATTGGCAAAAAAGGTTTCTGATTGTCCAGCTTTACATGAACAAATTATGTTGTGGATTATACAAATTTTTCCTTAAACTTTAAAATGCCAGTAATTTTTGCAGGACAATATGTGTATTTGTGTGCATTTGATATTTTATTTGTGATTAAACAAAATAAAATTAGAATTGTATTAATAAATGTAATTTTCTTTATTTTGATCTTTAAAGTCACACCTCATCCTATATGCGAGAGCATCTTATATGCAAGTAAATATGGTAATAAGTATCAAAAGTGAGTACTTTTATTTATAGTTAAAATTTAACTTAAAAAAAAATAGTTGCTATTCAATAGCTACTTTTGAATTAGTGACATTTGCTTCAAGAAGTTTTACAGCGGCATCTTGGAAAAATGGTTATATTCTTTGTAGACAGGTGGAGTTGATGCTATTATCAAGTGTCTCCAGTAAAGAACAATAACTTATTTGATCCTAGTGTTATGTTATGGATATAAAATTAGATTACATGTATTTCTTTTTCTTTGGATGACAGGACGAGTTTCATGCAATGTTGAATTAGAAAGTTGAGTTTCTGGGACTCTACCATACTCAAGAAGAGGTGTTACTGTCTATTTGTTGAGATATCTTTTAGAGTATTCATTATGAACTGCCAAATAACAGCATATATTTATCAACAACAAATGAATTGTGTTATGAAGAAATTAGTACTAAATGGTCAGCTCTAGTCAACAGAGTATAATACTGAACCATACTATCTTTCATGATGCAATATAATAAAAAGTGTTACTGTTAATTATTAAGATGTTAATTTTAATATATATTACTGTGTTACGTAAAAACAGATTAATAAATTAAAATATTTTTTTACAATTAAAGTTTTAAAAGCTCATAGACAAGCACTTTCCCTTGTATGGCTTTTTAAATTCAAACATATTTAGAAATAAGATTTGAAAATAACATCAATTAAATAAAACAAAAATATTTTACAAATACACAATATGATAATATTTAAAGTTTAGTGAAATTATTGCCATAATTTTTTTTTATCATCAAGCTGTTGATATTGTTCCATTATTTTAAATTTTCAAATGTTTGTTTCTGTGCCATCTGAAGTCCATCAAAAATAAAAATGCATAAGTCCATGCTTATTTTTAATTTACATACAGTTGAACCACTAATAATGTCTACCTGTAAAACACAGTCAGTTTTCAGGAACATTTCTTTTTGAAGTATAACCTCCAAACAATGGCCATTATTTTTGTTTCTGTCAGTGGTGGTTATTTAGAGGTTTAACTGTATATATTACACAAAGCCAATGTTAAACTGTTTTTATATTATTTATCATTACTGTAATATATTATAAAAAATATTACTGTAATATATAACTGTAATATATTATAAATATTACTGTAATATATTATAAAAAATATTACTGTATTATTTGCAAAAGTTAAGTTAGTAATTAGTACATTAGTACATAGTAATTAAATTTGTAACAATCTATTAATTATCATTAAACACATTTACTTCAACTAATTAAATTACTTACCTAAATACCGATCCTAATCCTTTTAAAAGTTTCTTCTTCTTACTCCCATTAAGTTTATTATTATATGGAAGAAACATATCATCATGAGCAATATCAAAAGTTGCTTGAGATGAATCATATTCTAATCTTTTATCAGGATGAATATTTTCATTATCTTCTTCCACTTAAATAAATAAATACATCTATTGACTTAACTGTAAACTTATAAATTTTAATAATTTAAAAATGCAAAATATATCTATACAAATAAAAATGTAAATGTTCATTTGTTCAAAATCTTAAATCTCCAAAAGTTATTCACCAATTGCTTTGAAATTTTGAAACAATGTTGCATTCGAATATGTGCATGTTTTTATATTATAAAAATGTTGAAATTTCCCTCCTGTGAGGAAGAGGGACAAAATTAAGGCTTACCATGAAGAACTCTGCTTCTATTATATTATTTTAGATGCGGTTATTTGCGTTTTTGATTGTGTTTTAATAGGGCACATCAAGAGAATGTACACTAAGGAATTTTTCGAAATTCCCCCCCGCGCAGGGAGTGTTATACATTTATAATTGAGCCACAGAAACGTGTGGCCAGGTACAGCTAGTTTTAATTAAAAATTAACTCAAGAGTGATCTTGGCATTTAACTATCTTAAATGTGTGTAAGTTTATTTTCTAATAGAACTTACTAAAATTATTTCTAAGCAATTTACTTTACCATAAACATTGTTACATTTGGATAAAAGTTAAATGCAATAATCATAAGAAATAAATGAAACATTACTGCAAAAGAAACTGCTAGTGAGTATCAATTTAATAAAGGCATAAAATATTTTGTTCCTTTCAAAACTCCCAATTTATCTGCAAATAGGAACTTTTCTATAATATTACCTATTATGTTTCTAAACTCTACCACTTACTAAAATACAGGGTCTTCCAAAATGGATGCTAACATTTTAAATTACTGTAATTATGTTTATTACCTGAAAAGTATGCAACATACACCAATCAATAGAGTAACTATCTGAGTTTCATCTATCTGCATTCAAATATCTTATTGTCTAACACCAATGTAAACAAAAATTGCAACTCTGCAATAGAGAAGGCATTTTGTTTCTGCAGTTTGCAAAGTTGGAATCATTTGTCATATGCAAATCAGTGCAATTTGAATAATCTGCATGAACTGTAGAATTGTGGCTGCTGTGAGAGGGGTGACAATGGATATGTCATAGTGAATTTAGGAAAAATTTGATTATTGGTTGGATATGTGCCATCTGACATGAGGTGAACATACTGAGAAATTGTAATGGGCAATTGTAAAACTTAGGCAGTTTTCCAATGTTTTAACATACATTACAACATTCTTAGATAATAATTAACATAATTACAATAATTTAAAATGGTAGCATTCTTTTCAGAAGACCCAGTACAATGAAAACTGCTTTAGGCGACCACCTGCATTCGACAGGCACCTGTCAAAATGGGCAAAAATTTCTGGCACTGAATAGTTTATCCATAGAGTCTTTGTATAAGTTACCTGTATTAAACGACCACCTGTGTAATGCGACCACGGGCATCGATTTTTGGTCCAAAACAACATACAACAACTGTAAATAAGCGACCACTTCCGCGAATATATCTGGTCTAAACTATTGTTCAACAACGTTTCCCCCTCTCCTAATACTGTATAATGAATTAGTCTAAAGTCTCATTTGAACCTACTTTGGGCACTTCTCCCACCCTTGAAATTAGGTGTAGGTGTTAATGAATTAATCTAGCAACAAAGGAAATTCATTTCAGTTTGTTCAAAATTGTCCGAAAAATGAAAGAAATGCAAAGTGCTGTCATTAGAAGATCGTGTTAAAGTTATCACAACAGCAATTAGCGGCGAAGTTTAACTGTGGGAAAGCAAAATTTATTTTACCGTAGACCTACAGTATTTTCCTTGGAGGTATAAAATATTGTACACGATACAATTAATCAGCTGATCTCATCGTTTGATAAAATTTATTTTTATTTATTTATTTTGAAGCTCATATATAGTACAGTACATGTGTGATAAATAGTTTCTGTATCAACCTACCTTATTTCCATGATATTTTTAGAAAAATAATATCTAAGTAATTTTTGCACACAAAATATTCGAAAAACAATAAACGCATTAATGCAAAAATCAGTTTTACGAGGCAACTTTCCTTTTTTGATTCCACAATGACAATTGCAGAATGTAATGAGATCGTATAATGAGAAAAAAATAATAAAATGGTTTTATTATTAATTAATAATTTTTCTTATTGTACTTAAGAAAATATTAAATGTTAAAAAATACAGTATTTTTAAAGTTAAAATAAGATTAAACTAACGAATACCAAAACCAAAGTGATGTAGAGATACGATGTGCTTGTATATCGATGATGTAATACTTGTAAATGAGGAGCGAATGAAAAGAACCAAGTCAAATTAATTAAGTCAGAAAAAAGAAAGTGTGAATTATAACTGAGAAAATACGACTAGTGTATTAATCTTTAAAATATTGGTATTAAATCTGTCTTATAAAATCATGACGGTTCCTATAAATCGAGTTATCTGATAAGAATAAAATACAATACCAATATAACCCTATCATTGAAAAAATTTGCTTATTTTTGCTCACCTCGAGTTTTGCTTAGAAGAAATAGCTAAAAAGTGCACAAAATACGTACAGAAATACAGTATTACAGGACTACCTTATTGGACGACCACCCATCTAAAAGACCACTTTTTGAAGGAACCATGGGTGGTCGCCATAGACAGGTTTTACTGTATATATAATTGTTTTTAACATTTTACATTAAAAACATCTCTCTTATTATGTTATAACTTTACTTAGACGATAAAAAATATTTATTTTTTACCAATATATAAAATACCATTTATGGAATTGTTTTGGTAGTTACCTACTGATAATATTAAATGAAATAACTAAATAAGACTATAATTAGTGGAAATTCTGGTTTTATTGACTGACATTAAAAGGATAAGTGAAAAACAATTAAGAAATGTCTAACTTAAAGATTTATTATTATTAATTAATAGTAATTCATACAGTGTTATTGTTGTTTTGTGGTACTGACTTGAACAATTGCTAGTGTGTAATTGTAATAACAAATACCAACAACTTAAACTACTGTGATGGGAGTAAATAACCATTAAAACAATTAACAGTTAATGTTTGTACATCAGTTTCATGTTAAAGCTGATAATGAAAAACTAGCTTAACTTCTATTTATCCAAAGATGATGATGATATGAAATTATGTTTTGATTGTAGTTGAAGTTTTAAAATACATGTGTTTTGAAACATGCAAACTCTGATAACAATACAAACAAAACAATGGGAACTATTTACAAAATAATTATTCAAATTAATTGATAAAATAATAATTCTTTTTATATACCTAAAAAATAAAACCCATAAAAACTGTCAAGCTATAACTGAATAAAAACAAATAATCATAACTGGTATCTTTTAAGTTTTTTTTGGGATAATTAACTTGATCAATTTTTATTTATATTACAGTCTTCTATTCTTATGTTTATTTCATCTTATAGTAATTATTACTAGTAAATTAGTAAAGTATCTTAATATAAAATAAATAGTTAATAATTATTTTCTTCATTTTGTATTATTTTGATTTAATCATTTAAATTTTTCATAAAAAGAAAATAAATAGATATAAACTTTTATAGCAATCTTAAGGAATATACAGGGTAATTCTAAATTATTGGCAGGGTTTTGTGTCCTGTAATTATCCAACTAAAAACCACAAAAAAGTCACTTATATAATATGAAAAAGTGTAAGTTAAAGTTTTATTACACAGAATCGATACTGCAGAATGTTACACAACTTTGTACTGTATATGCTATAAAAGGCAAACACAAATTTTGAAGTATGACATCATATTATCTCCCAGACATCAATTTGGAGAGAACAGCATTGCCAGAGAGCTTTTTGAGTTACACTTTCATATTTTGTAAACAGTTTTATTTTTATTTTTTTTTCAATTGAAAAATTATAAGACATGGAAACCTCAACAATAATTTAAAACCAACCTGTGTATATTTTTATTATATATTATTGTTTAACCAAGATGAAAGTATACCTATCAATTTGTCAATTGTTCATTTAGATTATCTCAAAAGAGTTTTACCATAGCATACAACAAAAAAATAATCAATTTGTTATATTTAAGCATTGGTGAATTTGATGTCTGTAAATATTAAATAAACAAATTTAAAAAGCTTTAATTACCTATCTCCATAGTTCCTTTATGCATTGCTTCATATGACCTGTCTACAGCAGCACGAAAACTGTCATTACATCTTCGTTCTTTAGAAGACATAGCTGTGTAATTTGGCATTGTACGGATAATATTTTCTTCCTTTTGTAATTCTTGTAATACAGTTTGTAAACTTTCAAGACTGCAAGATTTTCTCATTCCAAGTGAAAGCTCTAAAATTAGATTTAAATTATTATGTTGAATAAAAAAAATTATCCTTAGTAAACAATGTAAAATAAAATTATGTTAATGCATCTAATATTGTTTATAATTTATTATATTACAGTTATATTATATATTTAATGTTATAGATAATTGACAATTAAATACTTATAAATGTGTGAGGATCCCACATTGTTATTCAACAAATTTTATGGTTAAAATTAAATACTTTTTTTTTTGTTCTTTTCACAATAATATTTTTACATTTTATATTTTCAAATAAAACTATTAAATATATATCATTTGTCACATATATATGCAAGTTTGAGGTTACAAAACAAACTGTGCAAATAAGATGAACAATTCTTTGTTTAAATTTTCAACTTAGATTTAATTTAAAATCAATTGATAATAGCAGAAGTATCAATACTTAATTTATGTATTCATGTCATTATTTCATCAATTTGTAATTTTCAAGATAATTTACAAAATAATTTCTGCTCTCTTTAGAAGTTCAATAGAAAAATAAATCTTGTTTGAGATTAATGATGCCACTAAGGTATCTGTGGTAGAGTCCTCAGCTACACTTAATTACACAGCTTACTGAAGAGGCTTCAGATAAAATTTTGTTTTGTGGAATAATCAGTAAAGAAGAGCTCACTCTTACGATCTTAACAGTTGGCATTAAAACAGATTAATTATAAAATGTAAAATAATTCAGTTTAGTTAATTATGATTAGGATTCAAATACAATAGAAACTTGATTATCTAAAACAGTTTAAAAAAAACTAGAATATGTAGTGTGGTACATACCACATAGTATAATTACATATAGAGCAAACTATGTATTCAATAACTGAAAATTACTACATCATCTGACAATTTTAGCACTACAAAACTAGATCATATATGTAATGTTATGTTAGATTTTGAGTAAATTGATTTACTTTCAAATACAGTAATTGTATTACAGTATTTATAGTTCATGAAACTTTAAATGAGTTTCTGAATTATACAAATTTCATTAAATTTGAATAACCCTTAGTCCCATCAAATCAGAATAACAAAGTTTCCACTGTATTCATTTTTTCATATGGGGATTCCAGACATTATATTTCATTTTATAATTTAAATTAATTTTCTTAATTAATTCAAATAACTTAATTTTCTACAAATTTTTTAAATGAAAGTTCATTACTTTTATTAACAGATTCTATCAATTTTCTACATAATAAAACCATAAACTTGTTTTAAATTTTATAATCATTAAACAATTTAATGAGATTTTTTGATTGTTTATAAAACAAATACTTTGATTTATTTTATAAATTATTATTATTTATAGTTTTTGGCATTTTAATGTAAAATCCTAATAATTTGTTATAGCTAAATTAAATATTCCATTATTTCCACATTTTAAATTTAATTTATAAATGGTAACTTAACAATTTGGTACCTTTTAGTTGTTTTTTATTGATTTGATAGAACAATGCAATTCTACATATAACGAGCAATTATTTATTGTGACATAAAAAATTGCAGCCTGGCATTGTGACAATAATATTGTTAATTTATTTAATTTAAAATATATGCTCTCCACCTCAAATTAGTAGTAGCTTGCCCCTGTACATCATACTTTTCCTTTAACAATAGACTTGTGTCAGTTATCTATCTAATGCCTTTCAGAGGAAAATTTTTGAATTGAAATAGCGTGACTTACGGTTGCATTGCAAGCTAGTATATAGTTAATTGGGGCCTCCTGCTCAAGGTTTCCATATCTGGTCTAGTTTTTCATCTATCTAACTCCATTCTTGAGATAAAGGAAGACGAATGGACAAACAGATGACAGTATGAATTTATAGGTCTAAAATGTTTTCAAATTGCAGCCCAACAATATTCTTGAAAGCATATCTATTTTCAATTTAATTTTAAAAGGTTTGTTTTATTTGGTTATGGCAATGATCTGCCGAAGGAAAATGCCTCCCAGAAGGTCTTTTAAGGGAAAGTGGCCCTTATTTAGGTGTTACTAATGTGAAGAAAACCTGAAACTCCACGTGGCCAACCCATTGGTGAGGTGTGAACCCATGACCAACTATCAATATTTAGTGGTTTTATCCACTCAGTCACTGGTGGAGACGTTTATTTTTAAAGCCCACAAAATTTAATACAAAGACAAGATGGATCCTAGGATTTGTACTATTAGAAGTTTATAAATTTGTATTATAATAATTTCTTCTAATAATTTAATAATTCATTATATTATAATATGATATTTGAGTTTGTTTTTAACTTTCTCTACTACATGGGCACTAAGAGGACCTTTTCAGCAAGTCCATTATGGGTTCAGACAGATCCACAATGGACTGGCCAGGTGATGGAGGATGGGATCCAACTTATCTGGATGAACCACTTCCTGAAAAATATCTACTGGGATTAAATCAGATATTAAGATATTAGATATTAAGATCTGAGATTAAATCAGAAGTTGAAAAATATTTTTCAACTTTGGATTTAATCCCAGATCTTACAGAGTAGTAGGCTGCTATCTTAACTGTTTGGCCATCTGGCTGCCAACTTTTGACATAGTAGAAAATTATTGCATAGAAGAAAATTTTTGATTTGTGTATGCTTTTAGCAAAGCATATACAAATCTGAACTTTCAATTGAAAATAAGAATTACAGGAATATTTACCTAAACCATTTTCTGAAGAATTTTGTTTCCATTTTCTTGCTTCTTTTAATTCTTCACTACTATATGAAAGTGATTCTTGCATCATTTTTTGTTTCCATTTTTCACGTTCTTCTTTAGCTTTCTTGGTACGCTGATAAGTATCTGTATTCTTGGCATCAAGATGAGCATGCCTCTTTTCAGACATACTTTGTCTTCCAAAACCATCCCTAGAAAATCTAAGTTCATCCTCATTTAAACTTTGTCTGAAAATAAAATAATTTCAATTAGAATTTTATAAATTAAACAATATTTAATTTATAAAATTCTAAATTATATTATAAATTAGGTGTAATTAGGTGTTGCTCCTTTAATTGATCGAGTCTGTATTAATATTTATATCATTCTTTAAGTAATCAGGCTAAATTTAAATGTAGAATCTGCTTATTGTAATCACTCTGAGGTGCCTGTCCTGGCAATAATAACCAACTGATAACATTAAAACTGCTTTCAGACTGCTAGCAATGGCAACTAGAGATAGACTCTAGTGATGTCATCGATCATGTCGCCATTACCAAAGCTTGCATATTAAGTGATTTTCATTAAACTGACATGCACTTTTCTATTCATAGTCAAAACAAGATTATGTCTTTTGTGTAAGGTATATAACAAACCCTTTTATAAAAATTATTAAAAGAGATCAGAACTAATAAAAAGTGGGTCAGAGAGTTTATGAAAAAAAGATGTTCACAAGGGCTAGATTTTCCTGAATCTTGTTCATAGCAATTGTGGAAAGTTCACATTGATTGGCTGATACTGTTACAACAATAGCATTCAAGTGATGAATAGCTAAGATGAAAATGCAACAATAACGTCTAGTATGAATGTTCTACAAAGATGAATGATAGAAATATCAGTTTTTGTCATTGTTGTCGGCAGCCTGAAAGCACTTTAAGCAACATAATTAAGCAAGTGTACAATTAACAGAAAAATACTAAAATCTAAGTAAAATAAGTATCTGGAATTACTTGAGATGGAGCACACATTTACGTAGAATCTGCCATCACCAACTTCTGCCATGTAACATGAATTTATAAAGAGCATTTTACAGCTCAAAGTGTTTTGGTTTCAAAACTAACTAACTAAATAAATAAATGAAAGCTAAAGTCAAGATATTTTTAATAGAGCTTTACCAGATAATTAGCAAGTTAAAAAAAATTTTAAATGTTGAAATCATTATTATGGTNATAAATTAGTTCAGGAAACCTTATTAAAATTTGGAATGAATAAAGTTACTCAAAGCATATTTCTAAGTCGACGTTGGTATTCGACGAATCTAGTCTTGTTATGCATTACTTCAAATTTGATTCTGTGACTTCATCTTCAGCCGATGTTCGTGAGGTGGCGATTTACTTTTTCCGTCTACTATACAATGGGCCTATACTAAAAATTCTAAATTCGAAAATCTAAAAGATCGTTAATTTTTAAAGATTAAAGAAGGTTCGAAAATCTAGAATATAGTCTGAGAAGACGAAAAGCATCCTGGCCTTGGAAGCAGCTAGGCCAGCACTGGGTTAAGACAGACAATGGATGTCGAAAAGGCTTTACTCCAAAATGCTAAACGTGCAGCTGAAAACAGTATTAGTTCTGCTATGCAAAGGGAAAACCACCGCATTAACTTTTCCAGGAAAATCTTTCATCAGACCACAATCTATTCGTTTGCCATCGACGTCTGAAACTGCCTAAGTCTATCCCCAAATCACATAAAGACATCCATGACATTCTAAAAAGAGCAATAATCAGACAGACAATACAAGAGGAATTAGAAAAGATGACAGCGTATCAAGAGGTAGAAGATAAATGGAAGGGAATAAAAGAGATAATCCCAGAAAGTTAGCAATAAGCATTTATGCAGAAAAGAACGAAAGAACAAGAAGAAAGAATGGATGACTGATAACATGCTCCACTTAATGGATTTAAGGAGAACTTTCAAAAATCGAGACAAAACCAAATATGACGAAATACAAAGCTAATCCGAGGAGAAATAAGAAGTGCAAAGGAAGTTCACGTGCACTGTGTTAGAAGAATACCAGGAAAAACACGATCTCTTTAATGTGCACAAGATCAGAAGTGCAGGCAGAAGATATGTGCATTGCTAAAAGACAAGGACGAGAACCTAGGAGTAAATATAAGACAAGCTTAAATCCTCCACGATTGTAAAATGGTCAAAAGATGAATAAGCCCAAAAAAACAATTGAGGATTTTCCCGATTAAAGAGCTACTAGTTTGCCCTGTACACTTGTTTTCTGTAAGAAAAAAAATGAGAAGAATGCTCATATTAATAGAAAAGAAAGTTCAGACTGTACTGTACTTAAGAGCCAAGAAATGAAAACATTGTTATGTTTTTGCAAAAACATAAGGTAAGCTGAAGGGCAGCGCTTAGCAGTACTGCAGAGCAGCATCCTTAAGGGATAGACAGTCTGAATTTTATTCCTTATAGCGCTGAAACGACGTATATCTACAGAAAAAGCAAGATAAAATTAAGCACGCCTCATGAAACCGTAGGGCTAAATGTGTATCGGCCACAGAACGGAAACTGAAAGCCTGAGTTTTGGATCTTGCAATAGAAAACGGAGTAAACTTTTCTTTTGCTCACCTGGTGAAAATTTGTATAAAATGAAAACAAAATGAAAAACGATCAAAAATTATTGTGACTGGTCGCAATGCTGGGCTGCAATTTTTAATCATATTTTTAATTAATTTAATTTAAATATATGCTCTCGATTTTAGTAGTGTCTTGCTAAATCATACTTTTCCTGATTACAAGAGTCATATTGTCATTAATCTAACTCCGTTCTGGAGAAAAGTTTTGAATTGAAATCACATGCCTTCCGGTCCAAGATCTGTAGTTCGTTTACAGTTAATCGGGCCTCCTGCCCCTAAACTTTCCATATCTGATCTCGACTCTCATCTATCTAACTCCGTTCTCTAGATTAAGGAAGGAGAGACAGACAGATGCCAGTGGAAATTTATAGGTCTACAATTTTTGAAAATTGCAGTCCAACAACCCTTCTTACTTAAGCCTCTGTCCATCTTGACAAGTGATTTGTATTTGAAATTTCATTAAATAAAACATAACTCATCTTATTTTTTGTAACAATTTTATTTTCTTATATACATTTATAACAATATACAAAATTAAATATATATATTTATTTATAATTTACAGTGTTAATTATACAAATATACAATACAAATTCAGTTAATAATTATTATAAAATTTATGCCTTCATAATTTTTGCACATTATTGACATAAATTACAGTAATGTGTGATTAATTATTTCGTATAAAAATACCCGTATCGAACTATAGACCTGTAAACAGTAGTGCAAAAGTTTTCATATTTATTATTATTTAAGACCCTTTATTTTTAAAATATATTTTCATAATGAAATGGATTAACTTTTTAAGAATGATTGCATGATGTTTCATTCTTACATAAAGCTGAAAATGCATGATATGATATGATATCTGATAATGATATGTTAATGAAAATTGCAAGATTCTAGAGCATAATTAAGACTAATTAAGCACTAAAAGTTTAATGATTAAATAAAACGTTAGCACTTTAGTAGTAAGAGTATTAATTATAGTTAGGACCGGATTTACACATAAGTTAAAAAGTACAGTATAAGGTCTCGCGCTACGAAGGTACAGTAGCGCGATATAATTTTATGAGGCCCAGAAAAATTTGAATTAGGGGAACATATTTTCTTATAAAAGATTGGTTTGAGACCTATTGTTGGTAGGGACCCCAGCAATTGCTTTTTTTTTTGCCCATAGGATAACGCGCCACTGCAAAAGTATAGTATAAGGCCTCACGATTTTAAATTTATTATTATTTGCTGAAGGGGTATGCTGCATCTTTCATACAGTATGCTTCAATTTTTAAGGCCACAAGAAATCTAAATCCTGTCCTATTCTATACAATGTAAGCCATTTTAAATTAACTTTAAGAGTCCTAATTAATATTTAGTACAAATAAAAATAAAATGATACAAGCTGTAATATATTATACTTTATATCTTGATGGCCTCATTTGAGAATAAATTAATATATATTAAATATATAATTCTATATTAACTTATCAAAACTCAGTGGTTATTTATATTTTATAGTACTGTACAAGAATTTATTTTCATCTTTTTCCTTCCATGTCTTACATGCAGGCAGCTGTAATTTGCATATCTGTGGATGCTGAGTCGAATTAAATCGAAATTCTGTGCTAATTAATCACACTTGAATCAATTAATTAGCATAAAAATTCGTATTAACACAATAATTGATTATGCCCTGTTAGCATATTTTAGACCAAAATAGGTGAGATGAATACAGGCTACCATACATTAGAGAGGTTGCGGTCGACGTTTTCAACGCAAAAACGTGTACGTCGGACGTTCAGCGCCGCTTTCCCAAAGGCCGTGAAGTTTGGCAATGGTGTTTGGGACGTCGAGCATGATTCCACTGATTATCTAAACATCATTGTCAAACTTCTAGGCTTATAGGAAAGCGGCGCTGAACGTCCGACGTACACGTTTTCGCGTTGAAAACGTCGGCCGCAATCTCTCTATTATTTCTTTTAAGAATGATAAATTTATAATCAAACACGAGACCAACGTACTCTGTGGAAAATTATAAAATAAATTGCCGCAATTACGTCGTTAAACTGCCACAGTATATATTGTATTGTAGAATAGATTCAATATTCAATATTCTACAGGTAAATTTAAACATTAAGCATCAAATTAATATTAAGTTTATATAGGAAGTGACCCGATAGGTCCTCTCAATGCCCAGCTACACCTAAATGTAGACCAGGCCGGACATGTGATGGATATGTTAAATATAAAGCCTGTTAGTGCCTGAAGGAAGGAAGGAGTTAAAATTAAATTTAAAAAAACTAATTTAAAGTATAACATAAAGAATATATTCTTCTACTGGTATAAAATGAGAACAAATTTTATAAATATGGATCGTCTAGGAGCCAATAACATAGTTCGTTTTACATTAAACAGATTGTGTCATTGGCTGCTTGTCACCTAAACGCCTACATAGTTTTAAAAGTAAAAATATCCAGCAATCTTTGATAACATAGTAACCTACATACTACATTATTTATTATTTATTTATTTTTTTCGTTGTTTTCGGTATAACTTTGAGAAATTTATGTGATCTTTTGTAATCTTTGCTATAGGCCTATGCGGGATATCGTAAATGAGTACAAGATTAGCGATAATACCGAAAGAAAACAATTCGTTAACTGTTTAGTAGATCCATTGCAAAGATCTCCTTGACAGAAACACATAAATACTCTTCGTTTTTTATAAAATGTCTCGGCACATCGCTCTTCACTATCAACTGGAGGACGTTGGATACACATTCGTTCGGTAGCGGCATCAAAATCTAGTGAACGTTGTAATGATTTGAAATTTTTACAAACTCTATCCGTTAAAATACAAAATACTTACCCTGTACTTGCCCTTCTATAACTTTGGCACACCATCCACTCGCGCAAGGAGATGCTTCCACACCACGTATGTTTTCGACAGTTGTGGCATTGTGAGGAAAAGGATCTTTACAATCTCCCTTTTCACCTCTAGAACGGCAGGTGTAACATCTTTTTACAAAACCTGTAGGAAAAATAATGATTTTTATTCATTATAGGAAAATTTCACAACAGTATTAATATGCCCATGGCAGTTTTAGGCTGTGCGAGGCCCTAGGCAAGCGTGAATTTGCTAGGCCATTTTTATATAGATCTAGCCTATATGATGTGTTATATGATACTTTATATTGTGTCGAAGATCAGTGGCGCATTATAGATTCACGAGGCCTCAGGCAAATTCGAATTAGGGAGCCCCAGGTACATTGACTTCAAACATTTTTGTTTGAGGGATTTTGGGAGAATTTCCCCGGTTTACTCGTTAGTTTTTTTAACGCGATCTCTGCGCTGTGCCAGTGCCACACTGGCAATCTATATAGAATACCCAAATATAGCCTAAATTTAAATTTCGATATTCTTAGTACAGTAATGAGTTTGTAAAAGATTGGTTTGGACCCGTTAGTAGATGCCCTAGACCAGTGGTTCCCAACCTTTTTTCATTAGCGTACCCTGTGACATGTCATATCTCTAGATTGTACCCCGTGACATGTCATATCTCTAAATTGTACCCCTCATTTAAGAAATTTAGTGAGTAACCGTATTGTTAATNGAAGGGAAGGGGGATCAAAGAAATTATTACTTTTTCTTACACAGGGGTCTAGAATGGCCAAAATCGCCCTTACGTAATTTATGGACGGTCCCTTATATAGGCTATAACAGGCGGGCAAGTAAAAAGCGGATGCTTTCTTAAGTTTTCCCAAATGTTATGAGCTTGAGTAAATATATTACAGTATTTGATAAAGGATTAATTTTCCATTGCACCATTCTATCCCAAATATTTCCTATTTGGTTTAAGTCTGACGATTTCGTTGGCCAAAGTAACAAATTTATTTTAGGATGACGATTAAACTACTACTCTTTCGCAATTCGACAAGTATGATTTGGTTTATTTGTTTTCAGTAGCGCGGCACGTGGGCGATCTGCCCAGGATGATGCTATCCGGGCGGACTTTCCATGGAAAACTGGTCCCTATTTAGGTGAATAAAACCCGGAAACTTCACGTGAGCACGCTCCAATCCACGACCAATACCAATGTTCAGGGGTTCTATCCATTCGGCCGCCGATGGGCTTTCGACAAGTATGAATCAGACAGTTATAAATAAGTGAAAGAATAGTTTTCAGAATAAACTGCTGACGAGCAAGGTGCACAAGTTATGGTGGGAATGGGTAGTTATTATTATTATTAATATTATTTTACATCAATCGAAAGCTTACATCGAGCTGGTTTACAGAAACATAAGTTTAAACATCGATAGTGATTGAACACGAGAAAAATAATTTTGCAAATGAAGCTATTGTCAATTTTGCATAACCAAATGTCATAGCCTAGGTTCATAGGCATATGGCAATACTCATTTGCTAAATGAGGTATGCACTCTCGTGGTTACGCACCATTTCCATCCGCTACAAATTTATTTTTCAATTCGGATGTCGTAGGTGTCCACAAAATGGCTGCAATTTGGTAGAGAAAGACAAATGCCATTGCCAATTAAATTGCCATTACAACTTCAAACTTGCCATAAATTCTTCTAATTGTTAAAAATTTTCATAAACATAAACTGCGCAATTACTCTACGTATCATGATTGGGGTAAAAATGTTTGTATTCCTGTAATCAATGCAATAATAATAATAATAATAATAATAATAATAAGCCCCCCAAAACCCTACCCTACGTCCGTGTCAACCATCAGACCACGTGGGGGGCGGGCAACGCATAACATTAATATTTATGCGGCTAACAGGGTAAAGGTAACCCAACAATATGGAGAATTTTAATAATGTTGAAAGTATAGAGTCGCTGCCTGGGGGGTGATCGCCGGGGCACGTTTGGAGCTGACGCTGGACGTGACAGCATGCAAGCCGTCAGTGGCTCTCTGCTGAGCAGGCGGGCGAGAGTCGGGGGACCCAAAATGACTACAGCCGATCAACAAGGAGGAGCGGGAACGGATGATGCCCTGCAGTGTAGGGCTTTACCCACAGACACTGCTGGCTCATCAGCAATGACCACGAGTAATATATTAAGTAACGATAGAAGACGAAAGTGGTCAACAGAAGAATTAGAAGAACTTATGTTCTGTTATTTTAAAGCAAGATCAGAAGGACCTGGATTCATAAGCAGATTGGAGGCACTTTTTATTAACAGGAACCCTAATAATCCTAAAATCCATAAATTTAATGGAAATACTTTGTCAACTCAAGCACGCAGAATAATTAAACAGAAAGTAATATCACAAGAACTACTCAACCGTATACAAAAACAGGCAGAGGAAATAGCACCTACAGAACTGATTGAAAATGTGATTGCAGAACCAGAGAACAGTACAACATATACAGTGCACGATAACCAGTATGGTATACAACCCGTAACGGATTGTGTAGAAGGTATAGACCAACTGACACAAAATATAGTGGTTGATGAGGATCAAGAACCTATAGTTTTGCAGTTTCTGCGAATATTGGCAGAAACGAAAGAAATCACGCTTGAGGAGCGGCTGCTTCTACCTAAAGCCAAAATAAACAGACGTTTCATAGAAAATCTAAATATTCTCAATAAATATTTACCTAGTTTATTAATTACTAATAATAGCCTGCGTGAAATAAATGATATAATATATGCAGCTGCTAAAACTCTAATAGAAAGTAATAACCAAACGCCATACAAGTCTACAGTGATTATAAATCAAAAAAGTAGCCCAGCTTGGAAAAAAAGAATACAAACTAAGATAGATAAATTTAGGAAAGAACTAGGACAACTAATGGAGATAAAAAGAGGAATTGACACACATAGAATGAGAAAAATTAGGGACAATCTTTATATAAAATACAATATCCATAATGAAAATGATCAAAATAATATAATAGAAATCATCAAACAAAAAATCAGAGCTCTAGCAGGTAGAATTAAAAGATACAAAGAAATGAATACAAAAAAGGAACAGAATAGGTTATTTAAAGAAAACGAGCACAGGTTGTACAGAAGTTTGGGAGACAATACAAAAAAAAGTATCAAATTACCAAGTAAAGAAAAAGTTGAAGAATTTTGGATGTCTGTACTGTCTATTCCTAAACATTATAATATAGAAGCTAATTGGATTAAAGAGATAGAGGCGGCCTCAGATGGGATTAATACAGTAGAAGTAGAAGAGATTACACAACACCAAGTTAAATTTGCTATACAAAAATTATTGAATTGGAAATCACCAGGAATAGACAAAATTCAAAATTATTACATTAAGTATTTGACTAGTGTTCACAAATATTTAGCTGTATTATTTACAAATATAATCTTAGGAATAGAGAAGTTAGAAGATTGGTTTACTACAGGTAAAGTCATACTAATACCCAAAAATGAAAACTCAGAAGATCCGAAAAACTGGAGACCAATAGCGTGCCTACCAAGTATGTATAAATTACTTACTGCTATATTGGCTGATGTGCTTTATGGCCATTGCCATGAGAAC